AGAGGGAAGCCTGAGAGTATGTCAGTGGCATGTCCCATGCTTTTGGCAATCCTGTGAACAATGAGGTTCAGTAAAAGCTTTCCATGAGAAGAGTGACAAATCAGTTTAGTTTCTTGGAAAAATAACTGGTGATGTTCTGGTAGATGCACTGAAATGGAAGACAATTTAAATCTGAATAAATACGAACTTTGTTGAGCCATTATTCTCTTCTTGACTGAAAATAGTTGCCACAATGGTGTCCCTAAATTGATGATCACATATCAATGTAAACTGTAATCATGAAAACTAAGAGAATCACAAAGCACACAAATACATCATATTGATTACAGTGGCCTGATTAGAAAATTGTGAAAACAAATATTCAGCTTTGGAAAAGAAAATAATTTTACAAGACCACACATACACAAAAATGATAGTTGTTTGCATGGGACAGTTTTAAAGAAGTGCAGCAATTCTGTATGCCACTGTAATCATATGAACACAACATTACACATTTGCCCAAACTGTACAACATACGGAATGACCCTAAAGTAACAGCAGTAAGTAATAACATGTCAATATGTTTCATCAGTTGTACAAATGTGCTTTATGAGTGTAACATGTTAGTAGGAAATAGCTTGCATGGAGAACTCTGTACTTTCTACATGATTAAGCCTAAGAGGCTCTAAAAAGAATGTCTATTAAGTTTGTGTGCTTCAAGATATCAGCTGCTAAAGTGGGTTTTTGGTTTGTTTTTGTTACTGTTCTTTATACCATTGTTTTCAAAATTGCCACAATCAGCAAGCAATACTCAATGTTAACAATAAGACATTTATAGTCAAAAACAGAAAAACATACTGTACACTGTGTTTCAAAACAATTATCTTAAAACTAAGACATTACCTTCTTATCTCCTTGTTTTCGTCTCCGTAACCCTGGTCTATAATCATCTCCAAATCTCAGAAAGTAATAGTAAGAAACTAGTCTTTCAATAGGATCCCTGATAACATTAATGTAAATTGGCTTCTTCTTCACACCAAATCTGAAATAGAGAACATTTTTTAAAAGTAAAATAAACATTTTCATTCTATTTAGGAGTGATCTAAAATTAAGCATAGGCATTTGAGGCACTGAATTAATTCAAATGAAACAGAGTATGTGGAGATCAGTAAATGTTTTAGTATTATTTATGTGAACAAGATATGACTTTTTAAATTACAGTTGAAGATAGAGAAAAAGTGAAAGATGACAAATTTACTGCTAAGAATTAGGTAAAATATTTTAATACTATGTATTCCTTCAATTTCATGTTCAAATAGGCAAGTCTTTCCCAAAAAACAAACTAAACCATGGCTGTCAAGGGATTCTAACTCATAACAACCCTCAAGTTAGTAGGTACCTACTAAAGAATGTTTATCATTTCATATTAAAATTACAAAAATTACTTTATTCTATTCCATAATCGATCAACTAGTGATACAAAAGAGACATAAGTACACATTAAATATGAGCAATGATTTCTCAAGCTTTTATTTCACTGAATCGGGTAAGGATTATCAATAGATACAGTCTGGGATAATTTATGGAGCCCTGGTGATTACCTGCTGGGCTGCTAGTCTCAAGGTCAGCAGTTGAAAACCACCAGCTGCTTTGTGAGAGAAAGGTGGGGCTTTCTACTCCCATTAGAGTTACAGTCTGGGAAGCTCACTAAGGCAGTTCTACCTGTCCTATAGGGTCACTGAGTCAGTGGCAGAATAACACAAGTGCGACCATTTGATTTGATTTCTCTTGGGACTCATTTTAAAGACAAAATAGAAGTGAAACAATGCTGAATTCTCAGCATTATGTTGTTTGTTGTTGTCAGGTGTCTTCAAGTGGGTCCAACATTCATAGTAATCCTATGTGCAACACGACGGAACACTGCTTGGTGGTGGGCAATGTGTTGGGAAATAGGATCAAGAGTTGAAGGAACCTTTTACTTTAGCACACCTTGCAGACCCCAGAAATGTAACAGTCTCCTTGTTCCAATATCCTCATGTCTCCCAGTCTCTCCCTTTCAATATACCGTATATACTCCAGTATAAGCCAACCCGAATATCAACCAAGGCACCTAATTTTACCACAAAAAACGTGCTGAAAAACTCAGCTTATACATGAGTATATACGGTACTTTCCATACCAATTTTCAGCTGATATTCCTAAAACACCAGTTCACAGATCACACTTCTTTCCAGAGCCTGCAAAACGATACTGTCTATGTTGGCATCAAGCCAGGTTATTATAGCTATATGTCTTCTGCATCACCTTATAACTCTCCCCAAACAAGAAACAACCTATTATCAAGTAGGCTCTTCCTTTCTACCTGCTCCCATAGATTAGGATAAGTAAAAAAAGTGCTACTACAAAAATCACAGGAGCCTTTATGAAACAGAAGTATCAATATGTGAAGCAGTTGTTTCTAAACATATCTTCCATCCAGGCCGAGACATCTCTGGAGCAGTTGTGTTAGACAGGGTTCTCTAGAGAGATAAAACCAAATTCCTGATAATATAATATATTTATTTATGAAGATAATTAGATATATAACGAGAAATGAACTGTTAAATCATATACAGATAAATATACAAGAAATAAACAGTTAAATTAGAAAGCACTATAAATGGCTTAGTGCAACTCACATCCGTGAGAGAAAGTTGAGAAACTAGCAGTCCTTCAAGTCTCTGTCTGATGCCAGATCTTCCTCTGTTTGTAGAGAGAGCTAGGCTATGTCAGCACAGCAGCCAATCACAAGGCAGGTCACCAACCACCAGTCCCTAGCTCCAGAGAAGTCTTAAAGGGACCTCAACTTACAGCAACACAGTCCACAGGCTAGGCGTCCCACAGGCAGTGTAGCCTTTAAATTGAGGCACAGAACAAGCAAGGCAGCCGCACACTGGTCCGATGATCACAGAGCCAGAGACAAGAAAGGCAAGGCTCACCAAGCCATCCATCTCTCCGCCCCTCAGTCAATCCCACCTGCGTTTATCAGCCAGGCTGGCACAATAAACTATCTCAGCAGTGCTTCCATCTCTCTAACCCTTCCCCAAAGGATTCTGTGCCCTTCAATTTACAGCACACTACACGGTGGTCTGGCTTTCTGGAATGTCTTAAATCATGTGCCTTTGAAAAGTTTTAGGAACAACAACAGCAACAAAAGTCTGAAGGGCAAGATGGCGGCTGCAGGGTGGATGGGGTAAGGTTTCCCAGTACAGTTCCTATGGGACAGTCCTTGTTGCCCCTCGAGGAAGGAGGTACAGGATTATGATGGACACAAAGTACTCGGTGCAACTTTCCTGGCTTTCTTCACAGCAGTGCATAAGAGAGATGGACTACTCAGTCCTTATGGAGCTCACATTCTCCTCGGGGGGAGCCAGACAATCACATAAATAAATAAGCAGGGGAAAATGCTAAGGTGAAAAATAATAAGTGAAAAGGAAAAGAAGTGCCAAGGGAGGTGGTGGCGAGTACAATCTAAAACAAAACTTCAGGAAGGTCCTAAAGGTACTTTGATGAGGCACATCTAGATATCTGGCACAATATTCTAGGAAGATGAGAGTTCTAAGATTGAAGGCCCTGAAATACTGTCAGACTGAGGAAATGCTAGGAATCCCATGTCTGCATCCGAATCGGAGGAGGATAGTTGCAGTGTACGGAGTGTAACGGAAAGAGGATAGAGTAGGCCTTGTAGACCATTAAAAGCATTGATTTTTACTTGGCACAGGAAGGACACTGGAGGGCTTAAGTCAAGGAATACTATGATAATTCATTGTCAGAGGCCATTGGTTGCTGTTTTGAAATCAAGTGTAGAGGGACAATCACATAACCATGTGAAGTCTAGGAAGCCTTTATGTACTATGCTATCTGCTGTCATGACTTCTCCTGGCACACGCTGTCCTTATGAATCAACATCACTCTGAACTCGTTCTGCCACTACTGTTGCTCTTCTAAGGCTTTTCTCCATAACAGTAGCATAAACTACTTGAAGAAAGCAGAGGACATGATACTTCTTCTATACATCATTGGCTACTCAATAACACCATCTTTAGAAGTTTAGAAAAATACTATTATTATGAAGTTGAAGATCACAACAAGAAGTGATACATTTAAGCCTATGTTTTATAACCGAGTAAGTCAAAGTGAAAGGGATGAAATGCACATGGGTCCACTGAAGGCTTCAACTTAGCCGACAGCTTATAGCTTAAACTTCCTTGCTTACCAAGATCTTTTTCAAGAGACACTAATGACAGACAGAGGCAGGGAAGACCCTAGGAGGAGGCCAAGAGTCACAGACAACAGAGCTAAGTGCTGTTATACACACAGCCCTGTACTAGCTGGCCTATGAGTAGATGAATGTGTACGAAGGGCAGTGGGAGCACACACACAAGTATATCTACATATACAGGTTTGACAGAGGACATCTGTACATGATTACTTACCTTTGCTGCAAATACAGCCCTGAATGTGGTAGAGCAATGTGGCAGGGGCAAACTATGGAAACTTTTTTAGATATAACCCAGACCTCAAGCATCTGAGAGCACAGGACCCTAAGTCTCAGGAGACGCCAAGGTCAATTGTGTGACACAGTCTGTAATAACAATGTTCTAAATCTTACTTTGGTGAGCAGCAAGTGGAATGTTGAAAGCTTGTGAACAGCCACCTAATGTGCAGCTATGGATCGACCCCTGTCTGGAGGAAAGAGGAGTACTGAAAACCCAAAAGACGTGGGAACAATCAGGCCAATGGGTAAATGAGTCCCAGGAACACCAGTCCTCAGGACTCTGAGCCCAAAGAACTAGAGGTGCTTGGCTGCAACTGCAAACTGCTCCGAACGGGATCACATTAGAAGGACATGGATACATTGGAAGGTAAATGTGGAATAAAACTCAAAATCATAAAAGGACCAGACTTACTGCTCAGAGACTGGTGACCCCACCCCCACCCTCAACCCCACCCACCCAAGGCTATTGACCCTTAGCTACCTTTCAGTCTAGGAATGAACTCACACCCATGGCTCAATTTTCAGCCAAACATACAGCATGGTATAAGGGGATCA